ATCACCAAAATACTACATACAGACAAACACCTAAATATTACTTACAGGCAATCATCAAAATACGTCATACAAAAAACACCTAAATATTACATACAGTCAATCACCAAAATACTACATTCAGACCAACACTTAAATATTATATATAGTCAATAACCAAAATATTGCTTTCAGACAAACACTAAAATATTACATACAGACATTCACCAAAATACCACTAACAGAAAAAACCTAAATATTACATACAGGCAATCACCAAAATACCACTAACAGAAAACAACAAATATTACATACAGACAAACACCAAAATACTACATACAGGCAAACACCAAAATATTACATAGAGTCAATCACCAAAAAACTACTTACAGACAAACACCTAAATATTACTTACAGGCAATCATCAAAATACGTCATACAAAAAACACCTAAATATTACATACAGTCAATCACCAAAATACTACTTACGATCATCAAAATAATACTTTCAGACAAACGCTGAAATATTACATACAGTAAATAACCAAAATACCACTAACAGACAAACACCTAAATATTACATACAGGCAATCACCAAAATACCTCTAACAGAAAAAACAAATATTACCGACAGACTAACACCAAAATACTACATACAAAAAAACACCTATATGACTAACAGAAACACAACAAATACTATATAGCCACTCACTTAAGTATTCTATAAATATATATATCACATGTTACTAATAATCACTCACCAAGATTCACTGTATTATTAAGTTACTCACCAATTATAGTGATATATCACACTTACACAGTATATACCTGACGGTATTTTGTCGATCACACACACCGCCATCATTAGCTAGTTAATATCGGAACTAGACAATTAATGGTGTCATTTGTGTATTGTTTATATTGCTTCACGCACAATCGTTTACGTCTGTCGGGAGAAGGTTCATGCCGATAACGTCTCTGTAGACTCGCGTGCGGGGGAGGTCGCCATGTTACAAGGAACGTACACGTGACATACGAGGGGCGGATAAACACGATTAAATAGTCATCAAACGGTTATAAAGGAATTAAACATTAAAGCTATCAATAAAAGATATTGGATTGGTTGTTGTCGCCCTGATTCCTGTATATTACATTTCTTGTTCACGTTATTACATCTGTTTCGATATAAGTGAGTGGGTAGATTTAGGAGAAAATCCTCTCAAGTTTTAAGAATTCGTACGGCCCGGCCTCAGCAGGCGAACAAGATATCAACAGGCGAACAAGATGTCCATCGCCTCGTACCGCCAGCGTCAGCAGGCGAACAAGATGTCCACCTCCTCGTACCGCCCAGCGTCAGTCATCAGGCGAACAAGATGTCAACCGACTTGTACCGCACAGCGTCAGCAGGCAAACATGTCCACCGCTTTGTACCGCCCGGCCTCAGCAGGCAAACAAGATGTCCACCGCTTTGTACCGCCCAGCGTCAGTAAGCAAACAATATGTCCACCTCCTCGTACCACCAAGCGTCAGCAGGCAAACAAGATGTCCACCGCCTGGTACCGCCCAGCGTCAGCAGGCAAACAAGATGTCCACCTCCTCGTACCACCCAGCGTCAGCAGGCAAACAAGATGTCCACCGCTTTGTACCGCCCGGCCTCAGCAGGCGGGCAATATGTCCACCGCCTCGTATTGCCCGGCCTCAGCAGGCGAACAAGATGTCCTCCGCCTCGGACCGCACAGCGTCAGCAGGCGAACAAGATGTCCACCTCCTCTTACCGCCCAGCTTCAGTCATCAGGCGAACAAGATGTCCTCCGCCACGTACTGCCCAGCTTCAGCAGGCAAACAAGATGTCCACCTCCTCGTACCGCCCAGCGTCAGCAGGCAAACAATATGTCCACCGCCTCGTACCGCCCAGCGTCAGCAGGCAAACAAGATGTCCATCGCCTCGTAACGCCCAGCGTCAGCAGGCGAACAATATGTCCACCGCCTCGTACCGCCCAGCGTCTGCAGGCGAACAAGATGTACACCGCTTTGTACCGCCCGGCCTCAGCAGGCGAACACTATGTCCATCGCCTCACTACAAGTGCACGTCTTCTATGTCCCGAACCGACACAGACAAGAGCGGTTATGCTTTCAGGATGTGATTGCTATTGATAACATTGGCTTTAATGCATATTCATAAACATGGAGTGATGAATGACTTATGCACTTAAAATATGCAGAAAGGCGCGGAACTCGTCCAGAAACGAAAACACGGGTATTTTTTTAACGCGTTGTGAAAACGTCAAGCAACTATCGAATTTGCTAATTTATTTGACCTTGTGTTACACACTTATGTGTGTCTTAGTTAACAATAACATCTTGGCAAAATTAATAAAAGCTGATAATCATCTCTCTGGTCGAGCTGATAATTATACATGTACATGTAAAACTATTATTCAAGCTGATTTTCATAGCTCTTATTGAAGCTGAAATTACAGTTTTGATCAAAGGTGAGAATTATAACTCTGGGATTGATAGCTCTGACCATAGTTGAAAATTGTAGCTCTGATTAAGACTGAGAGTTTATGGGCCTCTTAAAGCTGAAAGTAAAGATCTGATTAAAGCTGAGAGTATTGCTTTAGTATTGATTAAATTGAAGCTAAGAATAATACCTCTAATTAAAGCTGAGAGTATTGCTCAGATTGAAGCTGACGGTAAATATTCGATTAAAGCTAAGACTATCGGATTAGTTGAGCATCGTCTTTTGTGATCCTCGCATGGTTCCCGGTAAATTCTATATCGAAAGAAATAGTCATGTAATGACATTGCCGTATCAACTGTTGAACTATAGATGATACAGTGTACATATTTGGTGGCTGATCATAATCTGTTACGTATATTGTGGGGAGACATGGTTTGGTGACTGTTCGATAGTCACGTGGCACTCTACATCTGTGTGGGAATTCTGATTGATCATCAGTGTTCCCTTGCCACCCAAAACGGTCAACGGTAAACATTACGGCAAATGCTTCAGTTCAGAAGCACTAGCTAATGACGTGTGTTTGTCGGCTTCACCTGACCGACCGCGTGACAGTCCACTAATCCTTATAAGAGAACATTTACAAATCGTCATAAAAAAAGGCCAGCGATTTCTCGTCCATGGTCTAATTAGCCTAATAAACAATTTACTCAATCAAGATTTTTCGACAGTGTACGTGTACCAAAGCCTACAAAAGCCTTGATATGGCTATTGGCGTGATCTTTTATAATGTATTTCTAAGTTATAAGTTTTTATTTCTTTTGAAATATACTAAAAGTGTGATTTGGTAAGAACAATGGTATTCGAATGACAGGTTCGAGATGGTATGTATTGGTTAGACAACAGACAGTAAATATCATTGATATAGGACGAGTTGTGTCCATATTGGAGGATCGCCTGTCATTAGACATGAAGACATTGGGTACACATTAAACCCCCACATAGCAGGTCTCACGTCGACATATCTCCTTAGAGAGTAAGAGCAAAATCATGCATCATTGTCCTGTGTCAACAACGAATGCACCTGGGCCGACAGGTGTAATAAGTATTATTAACATGTGCGAGACGGTATTCGTTAACAAGCAATATATTGTGTTTAGGTACAACGCATGTTATAGGACCAGATACAGTTTACTATTGGTAATGATGGACGATGAGCTGTTATAAGTTTAAATACGGTAAACTACATGTGATAAATGGCCAGATAGCTGTTATAGATTAATAATAATAATAATGATAATAATTCGAGGTTCGTATATACCACTTTATCACAACTTAGTTCGTAGGTCGTCTCAAAGTGGTTCACAAATTATTATCCGTGGTTATAGGGCCTTTGCAACCAGCCAATATCTTTCTCAACTCCCTAGGGAGCATACAGCCGGTGCTGCAATTTCGGCGCTCAAAGCCAGCATCCTACAATTCTAGCACTCCTTAAATATGGTAGACTACAGATGATAGATAACGAGGTAACTGTTATAGGTTAAACTACGGTTAACTAGAGGTAATACAATCAGGTTGCTGTTATAGGTTAAGATACGCTCGACTAGAGGTAATAAGTAACGAGGTAGCTGTTATAGGTTAAGATAGGGTTAACTAGAGGTACAATGTTATAAGTAACGAGGTAGCTGTTATAGGTTAAGATAGGGTTAACTAGAGGTACAATGTTATAAGGAACGAGGTAGCTGTTATAGGTTAAGATAGGGGTAACTAGAGATACAATGTTATAAGTAACGAGGTAGCTGTTATAGGTTAAGACAGGGTTAACTAGAGGTACAATGTTATAAGTAACGAGGTAGCTGTTATAGGTTAAGATAGGGTTAACTAGAGGTAATAGATAACGTGGTACTGTAGCTGTTGTAGGTTAAGATAAAGTTAACTAGAGGTAATAAATAACGAGGTAGCTGTTAAAAGTTAAGATAAAGTTAAATAGATGTTATAAATAACGAGGCAGCTGTTAAAGGTTACGATAAAGTTAACTAGAGGTAATAAATAACGAGATACATAGCTATTTTCGGTTAAAATAAAGTTAACTAGAGGTTATAAATAACGAGGTAGGTGAAGGGATGAGGTATCTGTAACAAATGTATTAACAATATACACGGACTTTCTCTTGCCGTTGTAAATGCTTACACTGAATAAACAAACTTGTGTGTATGTGCAGAAATGTCTGTTCTGGAAATAACTTCCAACTACGATTACTCTAGTGATTCCCTCTTGTTAAATAAAGCATTGCTTCAAAATTGCATTACCTATTTAACAGTATTTATACACATCGTATTTCTGGCGGGAGTGTGAATACGATTGTGCAGAGAATGGCATTACACAAAAGTGGAATGGTTCCTCGTTAATCGGTCGTACGCCCGACTACAGAAGGAGAAATTCTGAGTTTGTACAGAACATGAATCCCCCAGAAATGTAGGCTTCTGAGCTATGTCTGTTGTGTGATAGTTTTGTCTGATGGTTTGTCGTCAGTGCTGATCGTTGTTGTCATTTTCTATTTCAGTTCCTTTGACGTGTCGAGAGAGAACAGTTTAGTGTCCGAAGAGGAGGTTGCTAAATTTTGTGGAGATTTACAAAGATTGACGACAAACAACGAAAACGAAAATGGTTATGTGAAAGTTTTAGCCTCACCGCGAGTGTCGCCGGATATATTCCACTCTGTGCCCGGGGTAGTGGTTACCTCCGACTCGGACGAAACCTCTGGTAAGTAAGCAGTCGTACATTAAAGCTTTCCATGTACGATCAGTTGGTATCTGTTTGTGATGAACATTTTAAAGAAGCTGACTGGAGAAACCATTTCAATTTCAGAACAGATTAACCATGACATGTTTTATATCAGAAATTAGGGAAAAAGCTATACTGGATTCGCGTAAACCATCCGTCCGTCTGTCCTTCCAATCGTCCATCGATCTGTTGACACAATTTCGTCCGTATAACACCTCATGGAGTTTTCAGCCGAAATTAATGAAACTTCACTGATGTAATCAATACACTGTTTAGGTCACTGATATAATCAATACACTGTTTAGGTCACTGATATAATCAATACACTGTTTAGGTCACTGATATAATCAATACACTGTTTAGGTCACTGATATAATCAATACACTGTTTAGGTCACTGATATAATCAATACACTGTTTAGGTCACTGATATAATCAATACACTGTTTAGGTCACTGATATAATCAATACACTGTTTAGGTCACTGATATAATCAATACACTGTTTAGGTCACTGATATAATCAATACACTGTTTAGGTCACTGATATAATCAATACACTGTTTAGGTCACTGATATAATCAATACACTGTTTAGGTCACTGATATAATCAATACACTGTTTAGGTCACTGATATAATCAATACACTGTTTAGGTCACTGATATAATCAATACACTGTTTAGGTCACTGATATAATCAATACACTGTTTAGGTCACTGATATAATCAATACACTGTTTAGGTCACTGATATAATCAATACACTGTTTAGGTCACTGATATAATCAATACACTGTTTAGGTCACTGATATAATCAATACACTGTTTAGGTCACTGATATAATCAATACACTGTTTAGGTCACTGATATAATCAATACACTGTTTAGGTCACTGATATAATCAATACACTGTTTAGGTCACTGATATAATCAATACACTGTTTAGGTCACTGATATAATCAATACACTGTTTAGGTCACTGATATAATCAATACACTGTTTAGGTCACTGATATAATCAATACACTGTTTAGGTCACTGATATAATCAATACACTGTTTAGGTCACTGATATAATCAATACACTGTTTAGGTCACTGATATAATCAATACACTGTTTAGGTCACTGATATAATCAATACACTGTTTAGGTCACTGATATAATCAATACACTGTTTAGGTCACTGATATAATCAATACACTGTTTAGGTCACTGATATAATCAATACACTGTTTAGGTCACTGATATAATCAATACACTGTTTAGGTCACTGATATAATCAATACACTGTTTAGGTCACTGATATAATCAATACACTGTTTAGGTCACTGATATAATCAATACACTGTTTAGGTCACTGATATAATCAATACACTGTTTAGGTCACTGATATAATCAATACACTGTTTAGGTCACTGATATAATCAATACACTGTTTAGGTCACTGATATAATCAATACACTGTTTAGGTCACTGATATAATCAATACACTGTTTAGGTCACTGATATAATCAATACACTGTTTAGGTCACTGATATAATCAATACACTGTTTAGGTCACTGATATAATCAATACACTGTTTAGGTCACTGATATAATCAATACACTGTTTAGGTCACTGATATAATCAATACACTGTTTAGGTCACTGATATAATCAATACACTGTTTAGGTCACTGATATAATCAATACACTGTTTAGGTCACTGATATAATCAATACACTGTTTAGGTCACTGATATAATCAATACACTGTTTAGGTCACTGATATAATCAATACACTGTTTAGGTCACTGATATAATCAATACACTGTTTAGGTCACTGATATAATCAATACACTGTTTAGGTCACTGATATAATCAATACACTGTTTAGGTCACTGATATAATCAATACACTGTTTAGGTCACTGATATAATCAATACACTGTTTAGGTCACTGATATAATCAATACACTGTTTAGGTCACTGATATAATCAATACACTGTTTAGGTCACTGATATAATCAATACACTGTTTAGGTCACTGATATAATCAATACACTGTTTAGGTCACTGATATAATCAATACACTGTTTAGGTCACTGATATAATCAATACACTGTTTAGGTCACTGATATAATCAATACACTGTTTAGGTCACTGATATAATCAATACACTGTTTAGGTCACTGATATAATCAATACACTGTTTAGGTCACTGATATAATCAATACACTGTTTAGGTCACTGATATAATCAATACACTGTTTAGGTCACTGATATAATCAATACACTGTTTAGGTCACTGATATAATCAATACACTGTTTAGGTCACTGATATAATCAATACACTGTTTAGGTCACTGATATAATCAATACACTGTTTAGGTCACTGATATAATCAATACACTGTTTAGGTCACTGATATAATCAATACACTGTTTAGGTCACTGATATAATCAATACACTGTTTAGGTCACTGATATAATCAATACACTGTTTAGGTCACTGATATAATCAATACACTGTTTAGGTCACTGATATAATCAATACACTGTTTAGGTCACTGATATAATCAATACACTGTTTAGGTCACTGATATAATCAATACACTGTTTAGGTCACTGATATAATCAATACACTGTTTAGGTCACTGATATAATCAATACACTGTTTAGGTCACTGATATAATCAATACACTGTTTAGGTCACTGATATAATCAATACACTGTTTAGGTCACTGATATAATCAATACACTGTTTAGGTCACTGATATAATCAATACACTGTTTAGGTCACTGATATAATCAATACACTGTTTAGGTCACTGATATAATCAATACACTGTTTAGGTCACTGATATAATCAATACACTGTTTAGGTCACTGATATAATCAATACACTGTTTAGGTCACTGATATAATCAATACACTGTTTAGGTCACTGATATAATCAATACACTGTTTAGGTCACTGATATAATCAATACACTGTTTAGGTCACTGATATAATCAATACACTGTTTAGGTCACTGATATAATCAATACACTGTTTAGGTCACTGATATAATCAATACACTGTTTAGGTCACTGATATAATCAATACACTGTTTAGGTCACTGATATAATCAATACACTGTTTAGGTCACTGATATAATCAATACACTGTTTAGGTCGCTGATATAATCAATACACTGTTTAGGTCACTGATATAATCAATACACCGTTTAGGTCACTGATATTATCAGTACACTGTTTTGGTCACTGATATAATCAGTACACTGTTTAGGTCACTGATATAATCAATACACCGTTTAGGTCACTGATATAATCAATACACTGTTTAGGTCGCTGATATAATCAATACACTGTTTAGGTCACTGATATAATCAATACACCGTTTAGGTCACTGATATTATCAGTACACTGTTTAGGTCACTGATATAATCAGTACACTGTTTAGATCACTGATATAATCAATACACCGTTTAGGTCACTGATATAATCAGTACACTGTTTAGGTCACTGATATATACACTGTTTAGATCACTGATATAATCAGTACACTGTTTAGGTCACTGATTTAATCAGTACACTGTTTAGGTCACTGATATAATCAGTACACTGTTTAGATCACTGATATAATCAATACACTGTTGAGGTCACTGTTGGGTTTTAGTTAGTACACTGTTTAATTGGGTTTTAGTTAGTACACTGTTTAGTTGGGTTTTAGTTAATACACTGTTTAGTTGGGTTTTAGTTAGTACACTGTTTAGTAGGGTTTTAGTTAGTACACTGTTTAGTTGGGTTTTAGTTAGTACACTGTTAATTTGGGTTTTAGTTAGTACACTGTTTAGTTAGGGTTAGGGCCTATTGTGCATATTTCGGATATTACCCCTTTTTCAGTGAGTTATATGCCCCCTTTTTACCAAGTTTACTGAAATTTTGTCAGGGACATATGCTCTATACTAATTCAACTGGAGTAAATTTATTTGGCATACAAATACATCTTGGGATAGCAGCGTGTCAAGTCATAAAAAGAAGGTCACTGTGATCTATGCTTTGACCTTTTAGCTGGGCATTCTATTTCAACTAGTACATCGAGATATGGTATAAGTACATATTGGAATGGCAAAGTGTAAAGTAAAAATAAAGTAGGTCACTATCACCTATACTTTGACCCTTGACCATATCGTATCAAAGGTTTAATTTATACATAAACAATGTACACTGTACGTATCAGACGTGTCACAGCGTTTCAAGATTGACAGGTTTCTTTGTCAAGCTATGACTGAGTGAGCGATTTGTATTGGTTACTTGTACAACGATGTGACGAAATTGTATTGAATAGACCTTGTCAATTTGCAAAAGATGTACTGGGAATATCTTCTATACAATGTACTATTTCACCTGGAGTTACCAGATTTGGTATGCTGGACATTTGTCAACGTAACTTATGCTATGAACTTTGACCTCAACCCTTTGGAACAGTTTGTCGGGGGCATACCTTTAATACTACAATATATTTCACCTGGGGTTACCAGATTTTGTGAGCAAGTACATTATTGGATTGCGGAGTGCAGAGTACAAGAATTACATGTTTGTCATTGTTACCAGATTCGGTGAGCTAGTACAGTATTGGATTGCGGAGTGTAGAGTACAAGAAACACATGTTTGTCATTGTGACCATTGCTTCGGCCTTTGAACTAAAATATCTTCCTTACTAATTCACCTAGAGTAATCAGGTTTGGTATACAAATATGTTTTGGCTAATGCTGTGGGGATGTTAGTTAGTCTTTCGCTTGCATTTCTAGTTGATATGGAAGCGGGGATATAAGTTAGTCTTTCGCTTACAGTTCTAGTTTATATAGGAGCGGGGGTATTAGTTAGCCTTTGGCTTACAGTTCTAGTTTATATGGGAGCGGGGGTATTAGTTAGCCTTTGGCTTACAGTTCTAGTTTATATGCGAGCGGGGGTATTATTTAACCTTTGGCTTACATTTCTA